GAGTTCAAGCTTGTGAGTCAGAGATACCAATAGCCTTGGAAAATAAAGCTAGTACGTCTCCAGATTCATTCTTCAAAATGCCTCCAAGACCTGAGTCACCAGAGCAGCCACGAGAAGACCCATCCGTATTGAAGCTTAGACCAAACCACCACATTCTTGTTCGCTTTGCTCTTGGCTGGGATTGTTCCTTCGTTCGAAAGTCTAGCAATGTCACTAATATAGGAATTGAGGTCTGACCATTTCGCCCTCATCCACCAGGCAACTCGAATTTTAAAAAGTTCAAAAATTTACTTGCAATCTTAGAGTTTATCTTTGAACACCACATCATTTTTAAGCCCATATGATGTGGTGCATGCTTACTCGTAGCTTCCAAAAGTCTAAGAGCTGTAACTAAATGGTGACAAGAGAAAGGTCTTCCCGGATAAACAAGACATGTTCGGGGCCGAAGCCACTGATGGTAAACTAGACCACGGGGTTGTGACACCTTCTAACTAGACCATATCATCATCTGAAAAACATTCATTGAACAGAACTAGTCAATGTTAGCGTTTAATGTTCCCATCACATGTACAGAATCATTTTCATGATCAATTGGCATCTTTTATGCATAACTATTGAACATAATTCGATAAACTTTCATGGTTCAAGGTACATAATTCACAAGTAGCGTTAAATACGCATAGGCAACAACGTTCACATATATTCACGATACAAAAGCATCAAGCAATTAGCTTGTGCAAACCAATAGATATGGCAGCAAACCAATATTCAAGCGCATTCACCTTTAGGTTGCTCATTCAAAACAGACAGACATTCAAGAAACCTTTCTAATGAAATCAACATTCATTACTCATCTAGCTGTAAACACAGCTCACAATTAACCACTGGCCGAGGCAACATATAGTTATAACATAGCCGATAGTAATGTGCGTAAGTGGATTCATCCATCAAACCTTAGTCTTTAAACATGTGTCCCACTCATTTGAAAATTCTCCACACTGCAGCTCACCGATAGCTTATAACCTTCAATTCTAGTTAGATTCCAGCTCAACAACAATTCTTGAAGTTTTAAACTTCCCCTAAACAGAATACAAAGGCTAAACTCTTAGCTTCAATGTATTTCCAACATTTCACAGCTTAACTAAATTCTAGGTCTAACTACCAACTCTTAAATCACATTTTCCTCCAGGTTCCAAGATCTAAGGTAGTTAGAATCTTACCTTCGTAGCTGATTCAAACCTTCCAAAACACCAATATTCCAGTAACTCAAGGGAAAATCATTTGAGCTGAAAAACCAAATTTTATTTTTGAACCGAGTAAAATATAGTTCAAAACGTTAGGAAGCCAAATCTTACGTCAAGTATGAATTTTCAAGCTTCCAAGTACTACAAAGTCATCGGGGAATCTGGGATTTCAATGGCAGACCGCAAGCCTCCTTGTTTCCTCCAAACTTCTTAAATAGGTGAAATGCTCAAAGTGCTTTTATTTTTGCACTATGACATGTGCCTATCGATCTATCGATAGATTGCCTTGGTTTCTGATAATTTTTTCTGTCCATCTATCAATAGATAGCACACAAATTACACTCAAAATGTCTTTTGCCTTACATTTATTGATAGAATTTATAAATTTATCGATAAATGGCATCCAAAATGCTTTTAATTGCTCTCGAGTTTATACCTATCAATAAATTTATACATCTATCGATAAATTTGACACCAAATATCTCCGATTGCTCTCAATGTGTTATCTATCGATAAATTTAATAAATATATCAATAAATAACATCTAAAACCTCAAATTCTAACATTTTCAGCCTTCCAACTTTATTTCTAAACCTCCTAACTCATATTCACTTTACCAAACATCAAAATGCAGAAAGCATTTACCAAATCAACCAATACTCAAACCCGAAACATATTAACATATAGTTCAAAGTCTTAATCACATCAAAAATATATCATTTCATCATTCAATAATCCTTAAACACATGGTCATATTTATGTACAAATTCTCAATTCATCAAGTATCATAATACAAACCATAAACAACAGTTATCAAAGTTGGAGAGTTACAGTATATATATATGAAAAATAACATTAATTTAATTATTATTAAAAATTGTAAAATTAAAAGTGTATTTTTGTAAGATTTTCAATGATTTAATTTTTGAATACGTTTGATAATTCACTTTACAAAACCACTTAATTGAAGATTTTCAATAACAAGTGTTAAAAATCTTAATATATTCAATCAATTTTATTAAGAGAAAAATTTATTGGAACGAAATTATTCATATGTAGTAAAGGTCGGATAAGCTTTGGAGCACAAACTTTTCATTTTAGAAGCTTATCAATTTCTTTAAAAAATAATAAATAAAGAATAAATACTAATAATTATGGCATCCAAACACGTGGGCGCAAGCGCAGCATGCAGATGGCGCTGAGTTTTCTGTTGAAGTGTGTGAGTCAACTCATAGAAAAATATTTAATGTGATCTGCTAATTGATGTAATGTTTTTTATGTTCAATTTTAATTTATATTATGAAGAGAAATTGCGATAAAGACAATGTAAACAGAGGTTATATAACTTTATATCCGTACGACTTGGGAGTCATATTCAACCTCAAAAGCAAATCATAAACTCGAGAATTCAAACGTGTCAACTTGATTAACTAAATAAATTTAGGCCGAAATTGATTAAAATATAACATACATAAATATATTGAACAAAAACTCCATTCAGCTTATAACTGCTAAAGTTAACTATTCAAATATTTGAACTTGACTTGAACTTGACAGTAAGAAGCCAAATCTAAGTAACTGAAATTCTTTACTTATTGTATGGATATTATATATATATATATATATATAAAGTAGAGTAACTTAAAATACTATTATATAAGAAGAAATCACATTTTGCAACCTCTAACGCAACATCAAAAGGATAAATATAGTTTCTCTCCAACCTATTCCTGGTCAAGCTTTCTTGCCCATCTTCCAATACTTCCACCTTCTAAGTGAGACTTATACGGTTCGAAAACTAAACTCGACACAAACCAATAAGGCGCACGAGTTAGGATGGTGCCATGGTCATTGGAACCTTTTTGTTTTGCAATTTTCATTAACCCAACGACGAACTTTTGAGGCCATGGATGAATGCAAGGTCAGTGGGATCAGTGTAGAGATAAGATTGAAAGTAGATCACATTGACCAAGTGCCCACGCACTACAATTTTCATTAACCCAACGACGAGAACTTTTGTTCTCGTCGTCTACTTCCACTTTCACAGCTGCTTCAGTCATGTATAACCTTATGTTTCGTCAAGTATGGTGGCTTCAATTGTCGTCAGTCGAATAATTCCCTGTGGTCGACTTGACTTTGCTCCATGACCTTCCGTTTGTTTTCCTTTCTTTTCGTGCAGTGCATAATAGCTAGCGGATAAAACCTAGTCTAGAAGCAGACATCCATATAGAGTGGGAAAGATGGCAGTTGAGCTAAAGTCCCAAGGACTTTTAACGATAGTCCTGTCCTTTCCATTGGTGGCTCTGTAAATATGAAGCGAAACGCAATATAAGATATTAAATTTTGTTTTTTATTTATTTTTTAGTTTTAGTTTTTCTTTTACTCATATTTTGTTAAAAAAAACAAATTATAAATTACAAAATATTAATAAAATAAAACTTTAATCAATATTGATCTTATGTATGAACAACGATTCAATGTCACCCGTTAACCTATAGATTTAGATCAAAATTAATATGATTATGTAACTTGACAAGTGATATCATCTAAATATTATAAGATTAATTTTTTTAAGATAATTTATTATCCTAAACACTTACCTAACTTAGACTTAAGGACCAGACTTGTAGAACAGGGTTTTGAATCGATTATAAACTAACACTCTATAGATTTAAGTTAAATATTTACAAATCGTAAAACTTGAACCATTAAATGGTGTTTTTTATATAGATCTTGAAAATAAAATTAAAAATTTATTTCAAACATTTATATCCAATAAAAAATAAATAAAATAGCTACCAACAATACTGAATAAATCATTAAGACTTTAAAAGTAATTAACAACAAATAAATGAATAAATTATTATCACGTGGATATACAAAGTTGTTTATAGTATTTATGAATTTGGTATACTATTTAGTTGTAATTTGTATTTGTAATAATAAAAATTTTATTTATGTTAATTATTATCTTTTGAAAAAATATATATAAGATAATAGGGCCAACATCGAGTGTAGAATTATTCTTATTCTTAGAGACAATCCTATTCAAACATGACTAATTTTCTATCAGTAATTTACAATCTTAACTATAAAACCGTCGGCTCGGACCATGCTCACAGATCTTCTATTGAATTACTATCTTCATTAGTTTAATTTTCTCATACTTTGCCTTCAAGAAATCTTTGAAAAAGTCTCTAGTGCTTGAGAATTGTTATATGTTGGAATATTCGAGACATGTAAGCTTTGATAGTATCTTGCAATCTGTAATTTATCATCTGCTAAGATTTTTCTATCAAACTTTTAAGGCACGGTTAACATTCTCAAACAGAGTAAAATTATGGGTTTATGCCCCAAAAGAAGCACTGTCCTTAACAGGAGTCGTTTTCAAACCTGTATTAATCCAACCCCATACCAATTTCATCAAGCTTGCTGAACACAGAGCAGCTACACCGTTAATCTCATTTGACTGGTTCAAATGTTCATACTTCAAAGTAGGAACCAAACACTACCAATTAGCGTGTTCCACCCACTTGAACAAAACGTAACGACTCAGACCTTCAAGTTACACACCCAATCAGACGTCTTATAAGGTCAAGTGTTAACAACGGCCACATATTTCTTGGAGCAGCAAATACCATGGTTGATTCTTCAGCCAATATCAGGAAACTGAATTTTAAAGCATCATCTAAATACATTAAAGAACCATCGGCCAGTACACATACAAACTACAAAAATTAGACAATAACAGAAACGAAAGATATAATGATGCTAGCCTCTCGATAAAGTAAAACATCTCCGTATATAACTCAGTTCTAGATGTATAGAAAAACTTACAGATCCTACACGTGAGTTGAAAAGTTGCACAAGCCCTTGCATCTTACCAACTTATAAGACAACAGGGAAGCTCCATGGAGAAAAATTTAGTAACAAAACCACCAACAGGACAGCATTTTCAGGTATAACTGGAGGACAAGTATTCTAGCTAACACAGAGACATGGATGATCAAATTACAAAACAAAAAGCTTTCTACTCAAAGCCTGGCTCAATTTAGCTATAGCATAAACATATCACACATTCCACAGCTAACATGAAGCACTTTACGGAACCCCATAACTAGTAAACCAGAACCTGCAAACTTGGAGACACAAGTTTATTTCTTTTCTCTCTCAGCTTTCTTTTCTTTTTCATTTTTCTCATCTTTCTCATCATAATAATCTTCATCATCATAATATTCCTCCTCATCATCATCGTAATCATCATCGTCGTAATAATATTCTTCATCTTCATCATCTTCATCACCGTTGCCATTTTGCAGCAGATATTTGAAATTCCCTGATTGCTGCCCCCTCAACCGCTCCTGGATTCGATCTCTGATTGCAGTGCCCTGACAAGCACCCAAAATTCTCAAAGTCAGGACGACATAATCATCAATTAAATTCATGGCTATTCTACGCATGTCCTTGTACCTACTACATGCAAAGATTATTAGATTTGCTTACCATTTTGTGGCAACCTTCTTCGAACATCTCAAGAAATCCAGCAACCCAGCGGTCAGCATTTTCCACCCACTCATTGCGATGCATGGCAACAGTTTGAATCTGTAAGAATTGTTAGGTAAGATGAGTGGATTACATTAAGTTTGTGATAAGGTTGGGAATAACAGAAAAAGGGGGTGTAGATTACCAACAAAGTAAACCAAAGAATCATTCCAGATCCAGGGCAAATAGTACCAAGCTACCTTCATGTGCAGGTAGTATGCATGTACATGCAAACACACACACAGACAAATATATATATATATATATATATATATATAAAACAAACTGAAGAACAAGGAGATACAAAACCTAAAAGATGAATCTGATTGGATCAAGCGCATCTGCTTCTGATTACTCATAAAAACCCATACTACTGCAAAACAATTTTGTTACAGGATTGTTTACCATAGTCCAAAATTTTAATAATCCTTTCTAGGGAAAATGATCTGGAGGATGGAGGAAGAATTTGGAGTTGGGCATCAAAATCCAAATTCTTTGTTCCGATGGTATGTTTTTACTTAATTATTTTAGGTACATATAAAAGCCCATTGGCTTGAATACAAGGTAATCCTCTCCTATCTATAAACCAATGGCATATTGGCAGATAAGCTACAAGCATTTAAATTTAGACCAAATCTGATCAAGAAATGAAAGTGAAAAAGTCGGATTTAAACTACAGACTCTAACCCTCTGTAATTCATATGTCATACAATGTCGAAAGGCACTTAATCTCCTTATATTTTGGATCTTATAGCTAAGTTCTAGTCACCTAAATTTGATTTTTGTAGCCAGCATGAAGTTGCAGCCATATGCAACAGAAACACAAATATCATGTAGAATTGCCCAAAAATGAATCATGAGGCAGTCCAGCTTTTAAATTTTCAACACCGCCAAGCATTGCACTAACCTACCCAAGAGGTTATTTATTTATTTATTTATTAAATTTTGGAAGCAGGGTAAGGTTGAGGGAAAATTATGGGTAGACGAGTTGGGGAGGGACTGGGGTATGGTGACAACAAGGCGGACGGGGATGGCTATATGACGTGTAGATTTTAGTAAAGGGTCACAAGGCTCTTCAAGTAAACATAAACATGCAAGGAGTCTGCACAATACAACATTAATAGAATTGCAGAAGGCTAGAAAAAAGTGTAAATGAAGTCAAGATTAGAGTACTTAGCTATGGATACACTTCAATCTACATACTAAATGACAAGGAGAACAAGTAACTAAGGACAATATGATCTTAATCTACAGCTGTGATTTAAGCTGAATAAAACTCATAACCCTTCAATTAATTATTGTCAATTTGAGTTGAAGGAAACTTTCCTAGATACAGCTCCTCAAAAGTTCCACTTGAATAAATTCATTTAGACTTTCATCACACAAGCATATACCATGAATCCATAACATCAATAACAAGTTGACGACACTTGGCCAAGCCAATAATGCTACTCCTTAGGTTATTTCTCTAAGAAAAATTTATAACTTCAAGTCACCATACTAATTATGTACAAGCTCCATGTAAATAAGGAAAAATTTAGAGAAAATGCACATTAATATATGCTAAAAGTATCATGACAAGAAACACTATCCAGAAAAACTGAGACAAAAAGAACATTGAATAGGTTCATCACCTTTTGATGCTAAAAGGTATGCACCTTATCTTCCAATAAGGTACTAGATTTCAATCATAAAGTATTCAGAGATGAAAGCATGGCAGGGAAAGGTCATTAAACTAGATAGTCATGGCATGAGAGAGAAAATACCTTTTCTCCCACTTTTTCTTGGTGTTCCTTTACTTTTTCTTGTAGTTTCTTCAGTCTCATGTTCACTCTCAATCTCTTCTCCTGATGACATTAACAGGAATATCAACAAAGAAGCTGTATTAAATCAAAACATGACATTCAAGACAGAGACCATGCCTTCACATAGCTAACTCCAAGCTCTTTCCTTGAATAACCACGGTCCAAGTTACGCATCACATACAGATTATAATCTTTAACAATTCTCATTATAATATCTGATGTAGAAATCCCTTCAGTTCGTTTTGTTTCCTTGAACTTCCCCGCAGCTTTAACCTGGGAACAAGAGCTTGCTTAATATAATACAAAGTTAAAAAACACACCAAATGTAATAAACGCAAAGAACACTCTCCATAAACTTACAAACTCATATACGTCGTTCCCAGCTCCACTGGCATCGGCATAGCTGAAAAATGTTCATGGCAAAGTATGAAGATTAAATAAATAGCTGAATGCCAGATATTTATATATTCATCAGAAGTACAAGTTTTCAAGGAGCAAGAAGTACAAAAAAATAGGGGAAGCAAAACAATATATAGTACTAGTGTTCTATTTATATATTTATCTTTCTTAACAATGCAGCATTCACCATGAATAAATGAGTCTCAAAGCAAGAAGTGTCTATCCTTACGGAAGCGAATCATGAGCCACATAGTCAATTTTGTGTTTATCAAGAAATTCTTGATTAATCACCCACGGTGCATCAGGAATAACTTCATCAACCCACCTGTAAGAAATGATCAACAAAGAACTTGAATGAAGCTCTTCAAATATATTTAATTCACTCAAATTTATAAATTAAAAATGAAAGATCTCATATAAAGATGTGACCACCACTTTCCTCCAAAGAAAAAAAAAATTCAAGTAAATTTGTAATTAAGGTTCCACTGGTTACAGGTTTTGTTACTTGCTTTTTACCATACGCATTTTACTTCCTAAAAAGTAGCTAAAGGAAAATTCACAATTTATTTAAAATGAACAAAATACATAACTTCAATTCTAACATAATTATTCTGTAAAACAGCACATATAAAATTTTAATTCTTAAATCCTCAAATACACTATTTTATTTTGCATCCAAACACATACTTTTGCTTTTTCCTTTTAGAAAGCAAAAGCAACAACCAATCTGTACCTCAAATGAGCATCTGGGGCAAATTTCTTTCTTTTAATGATTTTCAATGCAATAACTTGAATAGGTTGAGAGTAATAGAAAGAAGTAATACTTGCAGTGGCGAAGGGATTCATAACGCTCTGCTTCGTTCATAACAGTTTTGCCCTTGAACTTGTGAGTGATTTCATCATTGCAACATCCAACCAGTAAATACGTATTGGGAAACCTAAAATTTCACAAAATTCAATCATATATATAATCAAAAAAAGTTCAAGAAACAACCAAGCAAGCAGTTGCGCGTAAGCAACATCACTAAAACTTCTAATACACATAAACATATATCCCACACATGAAATCAAATTCACATTTAAAAAAAAATTAAACAGATCAAAAAAATTAACCCACACACCAGAATTTTGAAAAAAAAAACCCCATTAATCACCACGAATTTCCACGAATACCCAGAAAAGTATGCAGATCAAAACAAAGATAAAACAGAGAAAGGAGGAAGAGGAGAGGAAAAACGAACGATTTCTTGGCTTGTTCGAGGGAGCGAGCGTGGCCGAAGTGGAAGAGATCGTAGATCCCATCAGCGTAGACACGGACAGGGCGATCGGGATCGCGATTGTCGTTGGCGTTGCTAGTAGCAGAGGAGTCGTTGTTCATGTTGGCGGTTTCGGAATTTAGAGAAAATTTTTGCAGTTTTATAATTTCTTCTGTCCCATTATAATTTGGAATTTGGATTACTAGTTTCTCTCAAGGCAAAGGAAGGGCTTCCAAAAGCCCTCAGGGCGTCTATGCCTTCGAATATGCGCTTCCTCCGCTCCTATTTTTGTACTACCTTTCTTTTTTCCCCTTTTCCTTCTTCTACGAAAAATTACTAAACCGGCTGGGCGCTAATATTTTAGATAATTTAAATAATCATAAAAATAAAATTATAGGTAAAAATTAATAGGAGGATATATGGGGAAAAAATAAGGCACTAGTAAACTTTACATTGACTAAAATATACTAACTAAATTTAAATATTGAAAACAAGTCAAATTCAAGTACATGGCATCAATTTAAATTTTGGGTAGTTGTTCTATATTAGTTCCTCTCCTATATTGATTTTGTATATAGTTTTAAAAAAATTTAAGTTAAATTTTGATTTTAATTGATTATTAATTTTTTGAAAATTTCCCTCACCTTTAAAAAATAAAAATATTTTTTTAAAAATTTTTTGAATGACACATTAAGTTTGAACAATTAATAATGCACAAAAAAGATAGAGAAAGCATAAATCTTTCTCAAGTATAGGTGTGAGATTTTTTGTATTATTATCTTTCATATTATTTATAGTCAATTACTGATTTTGGTATCATGAATTAGGCGACAATAATTCAATTGTTGAAATTATTTAAAAATCACTTAATATCAATAATAACAAATATAAAATTAAGAATTTAAAATCTTTTCATTTTTCTCATAAAATACATTCAAGTGAAAAGATTAAGAGGCTACTCCATTCTCATTGCTGGTAGTTATCATCAAAAATTAATCTTAAAATGTCTTTAACTGTTCACCCCAACTTTGTTAACAACAAACAAGACAGGACAAGACAAGATTAGGTAACTGTTTACATTTTGTTCTCTTCTTCCATATCTTGCATTAATTGTAGTATGATTATGTATTTGAAAGCAGTACATAAAAGTATACAATTTGCTCCCAGGCTCCCAGCCATACAACATGCTCTTGACGTTAATTTATTTTAAGCAGAAAACTCTCTTGATGTGAGTTTCATTTGAGGAGAAAACCTTAGCGAACAAATTCATATTAGAAATTGAAACAAACTACCTTCCATTTAAGGATTAAGGGAAGATTTTAGTTTAAATTTCTTTAATTTTCATCTAAAATCAATACTATTTTAATGACTTTTCAATAACATAATGGTTACCAATAAGAAGGTCTTGAAAACATTTCTCTAATGGTTTTTTAAGACTTTGTTTTTGAGTTATTTTTAATGATGATTTTTTAGGATCTCATTTTTAAGTGATTAGAGATATATGAATTTTTTAACTTGGTTGAAAACCCATTTTTAAAAATTTTACCACTTGACTTATCTTTGATATCAGCCTATAGACTACATTGTTTTTCATTTACTTACTATTGAGTAATATTTTACTTTGTTGTTTTATTATTTTTTGTATTAATTGATTGTATCTATCATTTATTTTATTATGATCTTTTATTTTTATTTACCTGTTTGTTTGATTCTCAACAAAGTATTGCAAAAGTGAAGAACGACTGAGTGTAAAGTTCCTATGCTTCTAAGTTTTTGCTCTTCATTTTCTTTTGTTTGGATTTGATAAGTTTTTGAAAAATATTATAATGTTGTTCTATACTTTTTAGTTGTGAATTTGTACTACTTTATAGTTTAGGTTGGTTTTTATAAACCTTTTCAACATGATGTTTATTTTTTAATACTTAAATTGTTTACAAATACAATAAATACAATATAATTATTAAAATATAAACATATTTCAGTAAATATTATTTTACTTATATTACACGAATGCATCGTGTGAGCATACTTTAGTTTGTTTTAAAAAGAATTCCCACATCCATTTTTAAGAATATTCCTAATGACTATTTATCCAAGTTGGCTAAATCTACTTGAATCTCTTTGCTAAGGCAAAATTCATTGATTGGTGCTAAAGCAAAATCCAATTTCTATTATAAATTAAGACTCAATAAATGATAATAAAATCATCACCAAAAATTTCAATTAAAACTTATTCAAGATATAGTTAGTTTCTCACATGACTAGCCTTCAATTAAATTTTACGTATTAATGTCTAAATATATACATAAATTTTTTAAGATATAATACTTTATTCGTCGCCATTGCCATTTGGCAATGATTTCAATAAGAAGACGATACCATATGAAGGGGAAAAAGATACACTACAATCATAACATGTCATGTCTTTTGCACATCCAATTTAAAATTTTTGTAGTCTTAAATATAATTCCTAATTTTAAAAAAGAAAGAGCCTCATACTTAAAAATAATAATAAAAAAAAGTCAATAAAATGATAATTGAAGCTACAAAGGTTAATAAATTTGCTTAATTAAATTCCCTAAACAGTGCCTTTCCCAATATGCAAGATCACAAAGAAATTATATTTAAGAAATGTATCATTTTTCACCGACAATATTATATAATTATATGCTTTGTAAGCTTGTGCAGTTCAAGTGGAACCGCACAACTCTTACATGAAATATCATCTTCGTACTCTCCCTTGGAAATTAAATCTTCATGTTGTCAATGCTGTTCGCCTAACTTCCTACAAAATGATTTGACGCCATTGAAAAATGCATGTACGATTGGAATGTGACTTTCCTTGTTAAGGACCCGTACGGTCGAATCTCACTCCTTGGAGTGGTGTTGAACACTTGATTTAAATAAATGGCACCTTCATAATCAACCCAAGATATGAGACAAATACCGAGAGCATATTGAGAAAGCTTATCTCCCTGTTCATAGCCCTTTCCCTGGGACTGAACTCCTACCTTCCTTTAGAGAAAAACAATATATATATATATATATATAATGTATAGCAAATACGAATAAAGCAACAGGATGCAACCTTGCTGGATAAAAATGTAAAATGCCCTTATCCTTTGTTGACATACCCCCTATTTTTTTATTTGGTTCACCAAATGACCGTTTTACAGAATGATCATTTCGAGAGAAGTTAGAATAATTATTATCAACCCTCCATTGATAGTAGTTATTTCGTGACTCACAAAATGGGCTAAAATTTGTAGATAAAAGTGTCTTTAATTATTTTGTCAAATTACTATGCTATACATAATAAAACCTAACATTAGCGTATAAAAGCCTTCATTTTACTCTTTTTCTTTCTATCTCTTTCTCATCCTCCTTTCTTCTTCTTTTCCTAAATTTCCTCCACAATCGGAGGATGGTGGAGGGTGATGGTGACCAATCAACGCTTTCATGTCCAAATCTAGTTGTAGAAAGCACCATTTTAATATTACACGATCAAATTCAATCATGGAAAATATCAACCTAGTGCTCCATGACTAGATTTATTCACGAGAAGCACTAATTGATCTTACACATCACGAGTAGATCTGATTGTGAGAAGTGTAGAATTTGTTGCTCCTCGTTAGATCTGATCACAAAGAAGCATCTAATTTGGTACTTCATTGCACCGTTCACATCTCCAATGACCATCAAGTACAGAGGAAACAAAACAGAAAAAAAAATTATAATTAAAATAAAATAAAAATTAAATTTTAATTATAAATTATGAAAAATGATTTAAAAATATTTTTTGACTTTAAAAATATATTTTTTGTTAATTCCAAAATTATTTTTACTAGCCAAATATTGAAATAATTTCAGCATGACAATTATATTGCATGAATCAAACTACATATTCATTATTTTTGTCATATTCTATGTTCATAAAATACTATTTTCATTCCCTATTTATTCCATTGGTCAAAGTATCCAAATAATTTTGTACTAATATATTTTCGTCAATTTAGTCCTCATACTCAAAATCTAATCAATTTAATTTCTCAATTTTGGAAATTAGAATAATTTAGTTCTTCCCCTTAATACGGTCCAATTATGTCATTAGAAGTCATGACGTTAGCAATGACATGTCAATGCCACATGGCACCAACATAATGACATAGTAATGCCATGTGGCATTGACATCATTACATGGTAATGCTAATGTAGCATTGATAGGATGACACGGCAATGCTAATGTGGTTGATCGAGAATAAAATTCTTTAAAGAAAATCTATATCACATCATAAAGTTTAAATTAAAAAAAAATATAAGATAATAATTAAATTGAACAAAATTGAGATATTTAAAAACTAAATTAAAAAATTTTAAAAATATAAATTTTGAGTAAATGATACATATATTATTAATAGTTAAATGTTTAAATGTAAAAAATTTATGATGTTAAAGAATTATATATAAATATTTTCTCAATTGATTATTTGATTCTATAACAGATACATGAATTTATCTTCTTTGTAAAAATT